CGAACGTGTTTCCGCGTTGAATGGTTGGGACCGACACAGTGGCACTTATCTGCTTTCAGCGTAGCAGGTTAATTTAGCAACGAATGGGCAAGTTTCACACCCTGTGTATACAGGGTGGCCCAAAAGGAGCTTTAGTTTTGAAAAATTCATTATAAGAACAACTAAAAGAGATTCAATTCAAATAAATTGCATTTTATTTAGAAACGTTGAAAATTTAATGAAAGATATTTTCAGTGTTTTCCCTTAGTAACCACTAACTAAGTGGCGGAGCCTTGTTTCAAACAATTTGATCCGAAGACAACATTATCTGTATGTACTGGCCATTAAAAAGTGAGTAAAACACGTGTGAATATAAATCGACTTTTTCTCAATTTTTCAACTAGATGACTTCAGTGATTTTTTGAAGTGTTCCATGTTTCCAATCTTCACTTTATACACTTTATCCTTGATATAACCCCAGAGAAAGAAATCATTGACCGCTATGCGATCATAAACATACGTTCTTCGAGGCTATATGTAATCTTTTCAGTCGTCATTTTAAAATTGAAAAACACGTATAAGAAAAACTTCCAACTTTGATCTACTTGTTTATCAAATAATAATTTGATATCTATAAAAATAAAGAGATGGCGCTGAAATCAAAACTGAAGCTCCTTTATAGAATTTAAGTTATGTTTTCTATCCAGTACGTATAATATTACCATCCTTACCGCATTCGAAATTTACACGCGTTTATTTGTTGTTACACAAGTACTAGTATCTATTTACAATTATTTGTGTAATAACAAATAAACGTGTGTAAATTTCGAATGCGGATGGTAATGTATTATACGTACTGGATAGAAAACATAACTTAAATTCTATAAAAACTACAACGTATGTAATTAATTATTAATAAATGCAATGATTATAACACAGCTGTAATAGTTATTCAAAAAGAGACAAATTATCTAAAAAAAAAGAAAAATTAAAATGTTGGGAACCAAGGATCTCAACCGTGAACCTTCAGATTGCGAGTCATGTATTTAACCGCGGAGCTAATCGTTTGTATGTGCAAGTTTGTCATACTTCTCAATGTAAGGAATAACTATATTATTATTACTGCAGATTGAGGCTAACCGGGCACTCAGTCCTTGTGGACCATTGTACCCGGGCCGCAAAGCAGCCTCCATACTGTCTGTGCCTTGACAGCTGGGCTTCCGTTGCGAAGTTCAGAAGCGCCGGCACCAGGCCAGCCGAGATGCTTAACGATAAGAGTTCTGAGGCCCCCTGGATCTTATCGTTAGAGCCCTTAATTCCCTGCATCTCATCCATCTCTTCACACCTTGGGTATGTCAACTCCTCTGTGAGTCCCATGCGTGCAAGGTGTTTCCTCGTGTACCAGTGTCCTGTCACTAGGCCCACGGGCGGTGAATTCCTGGTTCAATCATTCCTTGGCTAGGCCCTTTAACGCGCTGGTTGAGACTCCAATAGGGTACGAGGGGTATGGCTGAGAGCTTGACGCCCCCAGTCGTGCCAATTCGTTGGCCCTCTCATTACCTGCAATACCAGCGTGACCCGGTACACATAGCAGCTTGACTCTGTTATTCAGAGATAGCCGTCCCAAGGTCAGTGCACAGTCTCTGACTAGCTTAGACCCAATTTCCACTTTGTGGAGGGCACTAAGCGCAGCGAGGGTGTCACTGCATATGTAGATGTGTTTGTCTGAGTGTGCCCTATGCAAGATGTATTTCGCACAGGACCAGATGGCAAACATTTCTATTTGAAAGACTGTTACGTGATGGCCCAGTCTGTGGGTTATATCGACCCATTGGGCTCGCCCCCGATATCCCGGCCCCGGTTCCAAATCTGGTCTTGGAGCCGCCTGTAAACCAGACGAGCCCCCCCCCCCCCGGGGTCAGAATACTGTTTGGGTCCTCCAGTCATTTCTCCCTGTCTATCTCGTAGTTGTAGCTGAAGAGGTACACCGTCTTGCAGCGGTCACCACCTTAGGTCAGGGTTGATTCCGACTCCAACTCCGTGAGGATCGTGGTGTGCCCGTTGTTCGACGACGACCATTCTTCAGCCTGATGTAGGCGAATGGCTGCTCTCCAAGCCGCCACGATCACCACTAGGTGAGGTGGCTTGATGTCAAGCAGTATGCCTATCGCCATGGTGGGCGTGGTGGGGACTGCACCTGTTATCCCCAGCAGCGTCATTCGATATATTCTCTCGATAGTCTTTCTGTGTGTCCCCTTCTTCATGGAGGTCCACCACACAATCGAGGTATACGTAATAACGGGTTCAAGGATGGCCTGGTAGATCCACCTTACCATCCTTGGTTTGAGACCCCATGTAGGACCAAACATTCTACGACAGGCCCAGTAGTTGCTAATTGCTTTCCGGGTCTGCTTGTCCACATGACTTTTCCAGGTGAGTCTCTTATCCAGTATTACTCCTAGATATTTCACCTCGAGTGTTAAGCGAGTGTGATTGACATCATGTTTCTACGAGTGTGATTGCCTTTTGCAGTCTCCTCGCTAATTCCAAAGGGTGTCTGCCCCTGACCGTGATAGAAAGGTCATCGGCGTAACCTTGAACTTCAAAACCTTCTGTGGTGAGTATCCGTATGAGTTCGTCAACCACGAGGGTCCACAACAGGGGGGACAGGAACCCTCCCTGCGGGCAGCCCCTCACGACATCGGCCCTCACCGTTTCCTCCCCTAGGCTTGCTGTGGCTGATCAGCATGTTGTGGATCCATCTTACGACGGAATCCTCGATATTGTATCTCCTCGCAGACTCCTGTATGGCATCGTGAGGGGTATTATCGAATGCCCCTTCAATGTCAAGGAAGATGCAGAGGGCGGATTCACCGTTCGACAATGCTCCTTCAATTAAACCTACCAGGTTATGAAGTGCCGTCTTGGTGGATTTGCCATTTTGATAAGCATGTTGGGAGTGGTGCAACGGTTTGCTGACCAGAACCTCGTTTCTAATGTGCCTATCAACCAATCTTTCCAGTGTTTTAAGTAGGAAAGAGATGAGGCTAATAGGCCTGTATGACTTTGCCGAGTCATAATTGTCCTTTCCTGGTTTCGGGATGAACACTACCTTGGAGTAAAGGAATAACTAACTTTAATTGTTAATATATTTTAAACAATTAGCCGTCTGCCCCCAAAATGGGGTATAAGCGTGTTCAGCTCGGCGAGCTCTGCAAGATGGCATAGTTTAATTAATAAGTGAGCGTAACACTTGGGTAGTTTCCCTCGTAAGACAAACAACTTTCGCTTATGAAGTTTTTTGCTATTTCTAACGGTTTCAGAGAAAAAGAACAAGAAATGTAAAACAGTGGAAATTCTAAGGGCAATTTTCACTGCCGTAGACTAAAAACGAGCAGCAAACGAAAATTGTGTTTTAATCAGAAGGAAATCTACATATTTACAATGTTTCATAATTTTTTGAATTTTCGGGTTCGGTATCATTCCTTGTTAGTCAAGTTTGATCTAATCCGCTTAGTACAGTAAAAAAAAGAAAAAGAAAGTTTTGAATTTATGATACATTTGATACGTTACCACAAAGTTATAGTAGTCCATAAGGGGTTAATAATAGTATCTAGATGAAACAAAAAGTATACTGATCGAATTGAGTAACCTCCTCCTTTTACGAAGTCTGTTAAAAATAAAACTAGTCCTATTTTATTAAGAGGCTCGTATATACTGAATGGTTGGAAAATCCATTTTTCCGCATATTTCGATAGATACACATTCCAAGAACATGCCTATATAGTATTCGGACGAATTTCAAAAAATTAACGGAGACACAGTGAATCAATTTCTCATTTGTAAGTATTAAAAATTTGATTCTGATAATCAAATTTTAAATTCCTTTTTCTCGAAATGACACTTTTCGTCCGCGTTGACAGCTAATGAAATAATCTAATAATCCAATCTAGGTTGTATTTGTAAAAAAGACTTTTCTCTTTTACAGTTGTACAGTACGTTGTCGTTTTCTGATTGATAAAAATAATTTTATTTTATTTAACTTTCTTTGGTGATTCTAGTGTTAATGGGTTTGTTGATATCTGTCTGTATTTTTCGTGTAAATAAATTATTACTACCTATAACAAGAAAATGAAAAAAGAAAAAGCTTTTATTATTTTTTTGCCAATATACTGTAGTGCATGTAAATTTGATATGCTTGCACTATTTTTCAAGGAACAAAGATGACCTTTAATCTTCTAAATAGGATGCTACATATTTTTTGTATACCATACAAAAATCTACGTCAACACATTGAACTATGTATTGTACAATGGTCTTCGATATCATACGAGATTGGAAATGAAAGAAATATTAGGAACACATTGTTATTCAAAAATATGGGATCTTTTATCAATAAAGATATAAGATAAGGTTTTTTTAAATCTATTGAAAACTGCTAGGAAATAATTTCACTTTCTTATTTTTCAATAGATTTTATTTAGGACCTTACAAAAAATCATTCCTTTATATAAATTTGAAGCCACGTATTTCAAAACAATACAAGTCCACTTTTCAATACCTCTGAGATACAGTAGACTCTTGTTAGATTGCCGCTGACGGGGTTATAAAGGGTTAAAATTTTGCAAGCTTCCAAACTTTCAGTTGGAGGGGAAAAGAGGGATAAAAGTGTCGGATGCCGGCGGAAAAATTATGGCGTTTCGTCTCGGGAACCGTCGACTATAAGTCGCCAGTGGGGCTGACGTGGACGGTCCTTGCCCCAGACGCCTGGGTACTATACCCCGCTTATAACCCCCATAAAAGCGTATCATTTTCGTAGACTATGATAATCCGTGTGAAAATCAAATCATATGGCAATATAACGAGAGGGTACTGTATACATATTGTTAAGTGTAGCGTAGCCATGAAATATTGTATAATGAAATATCAGCAACTATTTCAATGTTTCCCTATTTTTAACAATGCAAAATTTTAATTTTGGAAATACCATACCGTAAAATGCTGATGCTTTCTTTTTACAGCGTGCTAGTATTAAAGGGTTAAGTAACCGGAAGAACATGCGCAGGAATTTATTTGCGATAAATTGAAAAGATGCATTCCAAGTGAGGGGTTACAAAAGAAGATTTATCTCAAAAAATTGAAAATTGTCGCCTGGGTAGAAGGCATCGATAGATAACGTAATATTACTTGGGCGCAGTAATATATCACGGTGATTGATGATCCTACAATAAAATCGATGCTGCAATATAGATCGTGCATGTTAAGGTGTAAGATACAGGTGTACTAATGGTATATTGAAAAACCCGTGAAAAATCGTGTCTATTGATTTATTCGAACAATAGTTCACGAACTGTTTTGTGTCAGTTGAACAAACTTACGAACATATGTACTATGAGAATGAATTTTTATTTGCTCAGTTAATTGGCAATTTACACTGGGTGATCAGATTATCATGATTTGCTTTGAAATTTAAATGATATTTAGGAATATTTTAAAGAGGGTAATATGGCCTTCTAGTTTTATATACCTTTGTATTATCTGATTCATAATTTAAATTCCTTTAAATTATTAAGGAATGATAGAAGAAAATCAGTTTAACTAAAAAGCACAAGATATCATTGTTATACAGTAGACTCCCGTTGTATTACCACAGACAAGGTGATGGAGACAGAACATTTTTTCAAGCCTCCAAACTTTCAGTTGGAGAGGAAAATAGAGATAATATTGTATCATTTATGTAGGCTATGATGATGAAAGTCTGGTATGATTGAAAATCTGTGCGAAGATCAAATCGTTCATATGACAATACAACGAGAGTCTACTATAAAAAAGACTGTAAGTGCCATTTTCAACCCTTCGTCAAACGATTTCTTATTCAATCTAAAACGAAATATAGTTTTAAATAATAAAACATATTTTTTATCATAGAAATGTATTAAAAAGAAAGAAATTGTATAATATTGAAAATTTGCAAAACTATGTAAAATGAAATTTATGATCACAGAAGATAAGAAATACAAGAATTTCATAGCATGTTATTCTATGCAGCAGGTGCAGTATACTGTACGATGGGATAACTAACAAATGTTTTTTCATAGAATGGATGTTTATATGAAGGCCAATGTCAGTAAATGTCAACCTTTAGACGGCGGATCATGGCGAGAATTCATATTATTATCATTTTCTAAATTTTACACTGTTTCCTTAAAAATTATTCTTTTAATTATTACTCCGTAAAACTAAATATTATAAATTTTGGATAATTATCTTAAATATACTTAAAATACAATAGAAAATATTTATTTGTTGGTGTTATAAATTGAAAGCAATAGAAAGTAAATGTTTTAAAAGGTATGGTGTATATAAATAATTATTATATAAATAGAGTTGGTAGACGTTGAACGATTTCAAGTTAGCTTCGACATTTTTATCAATCGAGATCTTGGACACGTTCGACCGTAAATGGCTTCAAGATAAAAAGAGTTAATCGGTCGTTTGAAATGGCAGAAGAGTGGGTAGAAGACGATCAGATTGGAACTAAAGGGTGAGCAGTAGATAAGGGCAAAAGCTTTCTAGTCAAACTACCAGCAAAGTGAAAACGGACGTGTATATCTATGTGTTCTGACAAACGACGAACAATGACGTTTTATCCAAACTTTAACCTAACTTTACTTCCATACAGGATGGTGGTATCAGTAAGCTACAATCACTACTATAAATCGAAATTTTCACAAATTCAATTTAAACTTTAAAAGTATTTGAAAACAGGAGTGGATAAAAGTGCCATCTAACAAATTAATCGCTTGCTTAAGTATCTGTCAAAGTAATTGTTTGAAGCCAAGTTGATTTAAAGATTTTCAATTGAAATTTTTACAGTAAACTTTCATTATATTGTAAACTTCCAAACGTTTAGTTAGAATAGAAAAGAGAGATAAAATTGTATTATTGTTGTAGACTATGATAATGGAACAGTGGTACTGACATGTGTGGAAATTTGTTTAAAAGTCGAATCGCTCACGTGGCAATATAACAAGAGACTACTGTAAATATAGGAACGTATATTTTATAGATGGCTGTTGGATAGCAGTCAAGCGATTTCTAACTTTTGGAAGATATGTGTGCTCTGTAAAGTGCAAACTTTAGGAGAAGATTCTTGAGGAAAAGTTGATAAAAGTTTTCATACCTGACGTACAAGGTGCTTTATATGTATAAGAAGGAAAACTATATCTTTAATGTTGAAAATGTTTAATGATGTATTTGATTAGATAACAGCACATAAATTAAAAATATTAGGTGCTACACATTTATTTGGTACTTAAAATTGTTATTTCAAATTTGAATATTCTTAGTTACTATTTTTTAAGTATTATTTTAAATTGCTATTCTGTTGTAGAGAGAACCCTGCATCTCCCCTTTTCCAAATCGCCGCACAACGTGGCTGTCGCCTAACAAACTGCGAAACGGTATTATAAAAATTGTATAGAGTGCACCCTCGCGAAAGGGTCACAAAATAACTTTTATCAAACTAAATAACATTTACTTGAACTATTTTCTGATATTCTTCATAGATAACGATTTATGGCAAAGGAAATGTTTAAGGAGCAAATACGCAGAGGCGTTGAAGGAGAATTAAAACAGACATATTTTATCTTAAAATTCATCAAATATTGAAAATGATGACATCTATTTATTTTTCTTTTTAATATTGTGTATCGGATAACTTTATTGGACTAAACGACGAGATTTCTTGAGAAGTTCTAGAAATGAATTTACTAACATATGTACTTTTGTCGTTTTAAAAAATTTCATTGTTCATAGTAACTTGTTTATTTGATTAATACTAATGAATTGTACTTTCTTTTTTCATGTACGACAACGGAGAGGTTTCAAGAAGAAGCAACTGGACACGCGGTGCATACACGAGCACGCTCGCTTCAGCCCAAATGCAGTGGAGAAGAGGAATCACCACAACAAAGAAGAAATAAACAAAATATTAGCAGTCACAATTTTGGAATTCGATTACAAGTAATATAATTTCACATTTCTTCTCTTTGTTTTCAGGACTTACAATCCTGATTTCAAATTTTTGACTGACAGTATACTTCAAAGAAATTATTAATATAAAAATGAACACCGAAATTGTAAATATGTATTTTAAATTAATAAATACATATATATATATATGACAGTTATTGTGAAAGTGGTGTAAATCGAAATGTAGAAAACATTGAACTTGTCAGTTCTTATATATTATGCTGTTCAATATAACTCAAAAATTTTGACTTATACCACATTCATAATAACTAGCACATATGTATATTAATAATAAAATAAAAATATTGTGATATTTCCTTTTTCCCTTCAAAAATAAGTAATAACAATTGTTTAAAATTTAAATGGCTGAAGTTGCAGGATCTGCTGCCAATCTGCCGCAAATCTGCCATCACAGTCTGCGCGCAGACTCTGTTTTGTTTCTGTCGCCAATTTGGCAACAGGTTATGTTAGCAGGATCTGCTCGGTTTCTGAAGCCAATCTGCTATATGATTCTGTCGGCAGGTTCTGTTTGCAGAAACGCAGCCAAATGCGGAAACAGATGGCTATAGATTTGTAGACAGATTCTAGCAGAGTCTACTATCAATCTGCTGCCAATCTGCATGCAGATTGCTAACTGGATGTCGACTTACAAGCATTTTGCATTCGATTTTTTCTTCTGAGTGTATTTGAAGCATAAAGTAATGGAAACTTCACTTACCACAAAAGGAGATATGAAAGTTTGAGTATAAAATGCTGAAATGACAACTATTTATTTGTGAACGTGTATTTAACGACTGACAAGCATTTTATATTCGAGTTTTCATATCTTCTTTTGTAGTAGGTAGAGTTTCTATTACTTTATGCTTTAAATACCCCACAAAAAAAAGTCGAATGCAAAATCCTTATACAATATAAGTTGGTACCTGCAATAATATTGTCCAATACACAATATTATAAAAGTCATAATGTTAAAAAAAGAAGAAATACATGTTTACAAGTAAACAGCCGTCATTTTCAATAATTAGTCATATGAATTTTAAGACAACATACGTCTGTTTTACTTCTTTTTAGACGATGGGCCTCAAACTGCACAGATTACTTTATGGCAGTTTAGGGCCATAAAGGGCTCGCACGAAGGTCCTGTACTGTATACCTGGGTTAAAAAGTAGCACATACGTGCTGAGAAGCCAGTTAGGCTCCTCCTACGCATATTACACAGCACAACTTTTATCCCATTCGATCAGCAGTGAGAGCTTTCTTTTAGTTTCGATTAGATAGAAAAAGATTAGGTTAGGTTAGGTTAGTCAGCGAGGGGTCGGGAGAGAACCGACCCCGCCCGCAGGAGAGGACGCCGTCGGGGAAGGCCCTCCGACGGCACAGTAAGCTGAGGAGGACGGGGCGGTAGGCCTTAATAATCCTGCCCACCGCCCCCAACAGGATGAGGGGGGGGAGATGTAGTGGGGAGAGGCCTCGGCCTCCCGCAGGGTGATGGGATAGGGGGGAGCTCCGGCTTCCCCCCCCCCCATGTTAGATGTAGTGGGGGGAGGCCGAAGCCTAGGAGGGGCTTGCCCCCATCGCAGATCGGCGGCTTCTTGCGGAGTCGCTGGGCCGCAGGTGGCCGGTGTTGGAGCCCCGGTCACCATTGCACGCGGCCCGAGGAGTAGCCGGCGCCGGAAGTGGCCCTCGTCGTCGGCGGAGTTGGCACTAAGGGGGAGGGTCAAAGGTTAGACCCTCCCCCGTGATGGGACGCTATGCGCCAAGGGTGGTTGGGTCCCGGTGTTGTTCGTTAGAGGTCCCGGGGCCCTTTCTTACGCCCAGTGCGGATCACCGTGGGGGTTTTAGCCGGTGAAAATCCGGCCCTACCCTCGGCCCCTCTCCAGGGAGGCTGGGGTCGTCTTTGGAAGATTTTCCCCACGAAAAAAAAAGGTTAGTCAGCGAAAAAGTACTAATAAAAAAAGGCCTGAATGGTTTTAGTCAGTGAAGAATAACTATCTATTTCATATCTTAAAAAAATATATATTCCTGGCAGCCTGGAAGGTCTTAATCACTCAAAAAATATTAATATTAAATTATTTTTCGGTTTTGTGGTACAGGAGCTTCGTGCGGGCCCTTTATGGCCCCCGCCATAAAGTGCCATAAAGTAATTTGTGCGGTTCGTGCACCACCCTTTAGATACCTTTGCGTATTCGATCCTTAAATATATGCCATAAGCCGTTAACTATGAAGAATATTAAAAAATGGTTTAAGTAAATGTTATTCAATTTACTAGAAGCTATTTAAATAAAAAAATTAGTATTGTGTTTCATTTAAAAAAGACAACGTCGGTTTATTTTGATTCTATGACAGCCACTTCAGTAAAATTGTTTGTACAGCACCAATCAGGTATTTCGTACCATTTAATTTGAAAAAATTAAGTCGGTAGCTATTATAATTTCCGAGATAACAGTATTTGTAACACTGTATCTGATTCATCCTGTACAAAATATTAAATGCAACTACACCATTCAAATAAAATAACATTTTAAATAAAAATTGAAATTTCAGTAAATGAAATAATTTTACTTTAATAACCGGAAGAGTAAGATCAAATTATTTTATATGCTAAAATCTTGCTTCATATTTAAAATATTTCTTTATTTGACCTTTATAGGATTTAATATTAAAAATTCTTAATTTATTTCACCTCTGTATTACACGGTTGAATATCATTAATTTGATGCGTTTAGTATTACGCCTTTTTAATTATCATTTTAAATTTTAATATTTTCCTGCGTTTCTATGTATTTGAAAAGTGGTGCAAGAATATCTCAATAATTTGAATTACCATGATTTAAAAATAATAAATCTTCAATTAAAAAAAACGCATACAGTTCATTTGTACACCTTGTATCAATAAAGCCTTTGTCTATGATTACTATGTCCATCTTTTAATATTCTATAATAGTATAGAAATAAGCAGAAACTTTACATTACGAGATATGTTTGACATATGTTCCAGTAATATGATGATAGGTTAAAAGTTCTTTAGCTGGCTGTGCGCCATGCATGTTCAAATGCTATAAATTCCTGCTGCAAAGTTATGTAAACGAAATGAAATTAAATATCAGATATCTTTAAAACGTAAAACTTGTCCCTTGTGAAACTTCGTATGCTGTGGAGTTTCAATTTTAACAAATCATTTGTGAAAAAGTACTTCTTTC